TATAGGTTGTAATTGTTGTTAAAATGTAAGTGCTAAACGTCGATCTGAGAGTACCGTAAAATGTCTCTGCGTGAGCAGCAACCATTGTATCCAGCATTGAAATAAGATGACTGCCTAGTGGAGCCTTATCCTCAATATTTTGTTACGGTCTGATCTCATCTAATTCTTCTTGGAAATCATCCAAAAACGAACACACACGGAAAAGCATTAAAGAACTTGAATAGAAGAGAATTATTCCGAACATCAGTAGCAATATAAATGATAATATTAATGCCAGGATCATTATCATCCAGCTCCTTGTGGCATTGCATTTTAGGACAAGCAATCGGAACAATGGCACGATGCGTTTTAGTCGAATCTGGGAACACGTCATTTGTAGCAACCTCAAACTTTTCTGATTCTAGCGGTTTGATCATGCGCTTATTTAAGTCAACTGTCTCATCTTCAAGTACGTCCTGATTGTGAGTACCCCCCTCCAATTTGTCGACTACGTCAGACGATAAATTAGTCCTAGTGTCAATTATCGTAATTATGGTACATGCGGCCAATAATTATTCTTGCTGTCTTCATAAAGAAACCGTCTCCAACCGCATGCGTAATCCAATAAAGTTACCCGCGCCTCCTATTTTATCCACAATACGTGCAGCTAACTTTGTAAGAATGGTATTATTATTAGCAAGATGTTCCTTGATGAACTTTAAGTGTTGCAGGTTTTCCGGTAAATCAGGAACGACTCAAAAAGTACCGAACAATAAACCCGTTGATTGATTTATGTTCAACACGTTTCAAGTCCTCTACAAAGATAGATTGCGCATACTTGTCGAGTTTAATCGCACTGTCCTTCTTCGTATCATATATACGATAATCCCGGAGACGATTGAACGGTACGTGTCATTCTGAGTAATGGAGTCACTCAGCCGTTGTTTTTTTTTTTTGTGCCCACTTTTTCCCACGGAAAAAATTTTTATTATATTACCATATAAAGCAATTTATATACTTATTTTCAATACATCAGCACGTGAGACGACAAATTAGTAGATGCAAACAACTACGTTGTCCATACAGTAATTAGTAATGTGTAATAAATTATTCACAATAATCGGTGCGAATTTAACTAATACAGTATTAACATTTACAAACAAAACTTATTATACATATTAACACGTCAAGAATACAGAATAATATAAAAATAATCATTAATCAATATTGGTATTGCACTTAAATGACTACAGATGATATTATTCGCAATAATCGTATAATTAAATAGTGCCGTATCTTAGTATCGTTGACAAAAATCACAAATTCAACAACAACAGATATAATCATGTCCAGTCAATTTTCATAAAATACGTGAATAAAAAACATATTAGCGTCAAGAATAATGCAAAATGTAATAACAATAGAATATAAAATAAAACAAAATAACTTTAAAAATTTAACCAAAATTTATAACCCATTCTATACATATTCGCATAGCTTGCCGCTTTCCTTATGTTATCGACAACTTTTAATTCGCATAATTAAAACAAATTTTAGTTTAGGGAGTATTCAACTGAATCTTCATTGTCGTTCGACGATAATTCTTTAACCATTGCCCAAACATTAACAGTCTATTCTAACATATAATGCGACTACGATTGGTACTGTTAACTCAACTAATGTTAATATTCTTGGCTGATGATACACTGAATGAATCTTTCGATGTTATCCCACCATGGAGACCACGTTTACGTAACTTGCATACCCGTTTTTAAAACACCATTCTTTTCCAGCACATTTGCTTACCTCGCCTTCTGTGCTCAATTACTTTATCTACTAATACTAAAGCATTTTTTTTGGTTATGATTCTAACTATATACTTATCCTTTTGAAATACACTTTTCGAATGTTGAACTCTATATTAAAAGCAAACAAAAGAGGCTTGTCCCCAACTACATCCAATTCCTGACGAAAAATTAACACCATTCCTTTAAAGCAAAAGCAATTATCACCCGTATTTCTACATTGCTCCTTAGAAAGAAGCTTAGACGCCAATCCATACACAGAATATCATATTCTTGTCGGTGACATGACTTTCTCGAAAAACATGAGGGCACTCAAACTATCCTTGGTGCAATGCTTAGAGAACCATCAGTCTATACTTCTCAACCGATTCTTCGAATTGCATAAGTTTGGCCTCCTCACTCCGTAACTCAGAAGGTGATGGTTCATATCTTTTATCATACATGATAAATCGAGCACAAAGACCAGTAATATCGTCTCAAGTTTATCTACCATGTCACCAAATCTTCCTTTGTTGGGCATAGTTTTTACCAGATAAATCAAAATCCATATCGGCCTTCATAAACGAAAAATGGCATACACATAACACTTAGCACGTGACTCATTCTGTTCTGGTGTAAAGCACCTGATCAGACTACTGGTAACATTTAATTTTCAGTATTGTATTATACACATTTACCCTTGTGAAAAAAAATACTTATCCTCGATTGTTTGGGTTTACGTTTCTAACCCCAAACCTTGCAGACGTTAATATCTCAAGATAGGAAAATGTGTATAACGTTCTATTGAAATGGACCTCCGCTGGGAATGTCCCTTTTGACTATTATGGTGAAAATCAAGAACAGACACGAACCACCGTGATTATACTATCTTAGTAAGATTAGTTATATAACCACAAATGTAACATCACAAGTTTGGAGTTTTAACGTCCGATTTACAGTTTTGAGCATGTGTGTTTCTACGTCCATTTGTCGATGCATAAAGCCTCAGTCTACAGACGTCTTCAACTATCGATCGCATAAATAAGATGAGAAACAACAAACATTAACATGGAGCGTATACCACTTGCTTGAATGCCGTGCATCTTTTTAATATCTTCTGCAAGATATTTCGATGCTGTTTACTAGTGGGAGGCCTTCGAAATACATAGAGCCACAACTACCTACAATCCGGTTAAATCAGAGTCACAGTTAAATTCCCGACTGAGGTAAATAAATAATATCCTGTCTATGAGAGATACTTGTCACTGATAAATAATTACGACCTGAGACACTGAGTCTCGTTGGTTGGAACTTTTCGGTCAATTTGTTGTGCAGGTATTTTCACCTTCAGATTGAGTTTCTGTTGTATACGTCCTGTAAATAACGGTTCGTCATTACTTTTTGGAATAAAGTTGTATTCAAATAAAAACATTCTCTAAAATAGATTCAGAAGGCTCTCTAAAACGAAAATTTGTCTCGCAGGAAGAGACAGACGAAGCTCGTCGAAAAAGACAAGAAAAATGGAAGATTGTTATGGAGAAGACGGGAAAGGTAAATGTACTAATAAGAGTATGGATTCCGAGGACCTATATAAGCAATAGTATTTTACATGAAAATGGTGAATGCGAACAATGAATGCCCAGCGGAAAAAGCGGGCAGTAACGTAATGAACGGCTACATATATGTATATAATAACCCTCTCATTATTTGCGACTTTCATTAACAAACTCATCCACAATCAATGGCGTATTTCCTGATAGAGGTTCCGAAGCAAGAGGAGGAATATGATCCTCAAACTTTATATAAGAGCAGAAAATGAAAAAGGAAGAAGCACTTCAAGAGAAGACTAGATTTAATAGACCCAGCTCATTTGTTGTGGCAGTACTCCTTGGCTCATAGACTAGACGAGGACAAGATCGAATTCTTGGTTATGTTGAAGAATCAAGAACGCAAAAACGAAAAAGAAAGCCCAAAAAAGAAGAACTTCTTGAAGAATTCAGACGGTTAGCATGACAATTTAGCGTTAATACAATGATGATTATGTATTATGTCTAATATCATATCATCATATTCATAGTGGAATATTTAAAGTGCAAGCTAGAGCTAATGGTCACAGAATTCAAATGTGGATTGTGCCATAGCTCTTGATATTGGAGGAAAGGAGCCAGAGC